GAGGGCTATGTAAATTTCCTATTACAGTTCCAACCAAGCCGAACTTTGTATAACGTGTTCTATACATATTAATTAAGAAAATAAGTGATTTATGCATTACAAGATATTTTTTCGTCAGTGCCCCGTTACGTATGTACAGTTCGACGGGTAAGTTGATAGAAAGTGTCGTTGTTTTGTTAGATGGGTATAATAATATCGTCGGGCGTCCTGCCGGTGGTGGTATACGCGGGTGACATAGGCTCAGTGATCGCGGCTACACTCGCCTCTGTCACCTACCAGCGCACCATGCGTCAACAGAGGCACAGGTTACAATCACTATAGTATTGTCTATTTACTGATCAAACCGCTATTATGAATGTGTAAATATGTTTCCTTACCTCGAAAGGAAAAAACGGAATCCCTGTAGGATCAATTTGTTGTCCGTCCGTCTGTCACGCTTTTTCTCAGGAATGCGTGGAGGTATCAAACTGAAATTTATATCAAATACTCGGGTCTACTGTCCCTGGGAGAAAAATTTACTTCTCTTCTTCTTCTGAACTTCTAAGCCAACGCAAACAAAAGATACAGCCCTTTATTTCGCAAATTCATGCAAATTTTCGAAACTACAAGGTACTTCTCGTGACCTCAGAATCTCGAAATTTGGTACGAGGGAACGTCTTATCCGGCTCGAAGGAGCAGATATTTTATCTTCCTATTATATAAGCTTAATAACTCTCATTATCTATGTAGCTATTTTATAGATTTTTTTTATTTCGTTAAATGTTAAATATTACATAGTATGCTTATATATAAATATAGGTCTATATCAATGTCTTTAGGAAAAATTTTGCTACTGACCAATGTTTATATTCTGGCAGTTTTATTTTTACAATCGCGATAACTAAGTTAACCATTCCTAATTAATGACATCCGTAAGTGCATCTAATGCTGAAAATAATCGTATCTTTGATTTATAGATATATAGAAGACTTGTGTTCCTGTACAGATTGTATTTTTATCTCCTTTTTCAACGGCTTCCGTTTTTAGCACTCAATCGGAACCCGATGACTCCGAAAACGTCACCAAAGACAAAACAGACGGCGACAAATCCAAGACGGCCAGGTCTAACGACCACATCGAAGTATTGTTGAAGGTAAAGTCAGTCATAGTCATAGCATTATCTTTGTTAAAATAAAGCGGTAATCCGTTTCCTACCACCAGTGCAATTACAAGAAAACTATTCCATTTGAAAATTATACATTCATAATACGAGGGTGGATTGAAAAGTTCGCGGCTTATATAAATACTTAAACCATTTTAATGTAAGTGACCTCATTCGATTAGTTTACTGTCTGGTTGTCAAATTGTAAAATTCTATCGCAATAGGATTAAAATGTATTTAAATTGACTGAATTTTGTGAGCCTTTGTGCAGCATTTTTAAAGAATGGAGAAAATTGAGCAAAATGTGGTCATCAAATACCTGTTAAAAAAAAACTAACTTTAAAAGAGATTCACGAAGATATGTCAACAACATTGGGGGAATCTGCTCCGTCGTATCTGACTGTGAAAAAGTGGGTTGCTGAATTTAAACGCGGACGAGAGAGTACGAAGATGACCCTCGCTTTGGCCGGCCTATGATGTCTACGACTGAAGAAAATATCGGGAAAATCTGTGATCTGATATTGACAGATCAGAGATTGACCATCAGGGAGATTGCAGACACTATTGGCATCTCGTAAGAACGAACACAAAATATCATAGTCAATGAACTTGGATTTTTTTTAAGGTTTCTGCGCGGTGCTTACGCAGATTGCTTTCAGTTGAACAAAAACGAATATGCCTCACGATTTCTCGCGACTCTTTGGAAATATTTGAGGCTGATCCACAAGATTTTTTATCCATATTTGTAACAATGAATGAAACTTGGGTACACCACTACACCCCAGAGTCAAAACAACAATCCAAGCAGTAGAAAAAACATGATGAACCGACTCCAAAAAAAGCCAAAACAATTTTGACAGCTGGCAAGGTGATGGCGTTAGTTTTTAAACGGTTTTATTTAGCTTACCCTGTCTGTTTCGTTCGTGGTTCAAATATAGTAATTGAAATTTCACCCTCTTTCCGTTAACTGATTGATCTGAAATTTGATATACGCCTTTGATTCTGGTGACAATACAATTATGTACATTCAATATTATTGTGAATCCAAGATGGCCGCCGCTACAAGATAGCGGACAACTTATTTTTTCTTAAACCCATCAATATAGATATCAAGTGAAAAGGCTTGTTAAGTAGAACACAATGCACTATACAAAATCAAAAGATGGCCGCCGCTACAAAATGGCGGATAATATAGTTTTATTCAATCCCATCAATATGGGTATCAAATTAAAGGGCTTGATAAGTATAATATAGTGCACTTTACAAAATAGATTAAGAAATAAAAACTAAAAACTTCAAAATAAAAATTTATTTTACCCGATTCCATTCATTTATTTTTTAGCTTTTAATACATTTATCAGCAACATTTTTCTATTTACAATAAAACCGTTTAACTTAAAAAGATTCTTTTTTATTTTTATTTTTTTTAATGCTAAGGGTGTTATCATGGTGGACTACCTTGCAAAGGTGAAACTATAAACTCAGCTTATTACTGCACCTTCTTACTCTTACGCTTGCGCGATATAATCAAAGAGAAAAGGCCAGGATTACTCAGCAAGACAGTGTTGTTCCATCATGATAATTCACGCGTTCACACGTCTTTTGATTCTATGGTTCAAATTCGTGCTTGTGGCTTTGAATTACTGCCCCATCCCGCCTATTCCCCTGATTCGGTACCTTCAGACTTTCATTTATTCCCAAACCTAAAAAAACACCTTGGAGGTTAAAATTTTTCATTAAATGAGGGGGTCTAAGCTGCGGTGGGTGACTTTTTTGAAGGCCTTGAAGAAACTTTTTTTATGACCGGCATACAGGCGTTGGAAACCAGATGGAAGAAGTGCATAGACTTAAGTGGAGATTACGTGGAAAAATAAAATTACTTTTGCTTATATGTTATATTGTTTTCTTGCTGAGGCCGCGAACTTTTCGCTCCACCCTCGTACATGTTTTTTTTTTCATTTAGTATAGTAGCGCGATTAATTTTTACAAGGTATTTTTTTTTTACTCGGCTATTCGACACGTATTTCGTACGCGTGAGCTCGACCGCCTTTGCTTGATTGGTAAAAGCACGAAGCCTGGTGAATGTACTGGCCAATTGGTGCCTCGCAATCTATGTGGACTATTCTTATAGTTTATATATCGTAAGTTATATTGATACAGTATCTTAAAAAACATTGAGTTTCTTTAGTACGAATTCCAAATTATTTTATCATTTTAAAATAGATTTTTAAACTGTGTGTCACGTGACTGCCAATGACACATGTAAAACATCATTGTGCAAAATCGTAGCATAGGTTATTTAAAATTTCGAAATGACATTTGGACAATAGGCACGTGGCTTCATTTGGAAATTATCGTTTCAAATTGATTATGCCAAGATTGAATCTCGATAAAATCATCGTTTTTCAGTTCAGAATTGTACAAGATATTATTATTAAAGCAAAATTTAACGCAAACACAAATAATAACAAAAATATTACTTCATAGCATACCATATTACTTCATAGCATACCAAAATCGGATCGATTTAAATCAATTGTAAGATCTTTTTTTTTTAAATAAATCGACATTACTAGTTCGCTGCCATATGATTGTTAATTTGAACAATTAATCACAGAAAAAATTGACATTTTTGCGTCAAATAAAAATTTTATTAATAAATCGCGTTTAAATTCCATTTGAAATTGGATTAAAAATTAAATAGGTACGATTTTTTTAGGTTTGTTTTACCCAATAATTAAATTGAGTTTTAAAATATTCTCAACTCCCGTAATACATAGGATGGTCTACTGTGCCGCGTGTACTACGCGCATCAGTTCCAGAAACTCCGGCATATGTTACTCGCGCCACTCTCCACTAACCAACACATCACCGACGATTTCATCACCTCCCAGGAACAGACCGTTACTGATCAAAAGTGTTGCTGCGATGATAAAGATAAACCTGACAGTGAGTTACATATTAATAGATATAATGCCTGGGTAAAATTAAAGATATTCTATTAAGTCCATCAGTCAGGTAATAGAAAAAAAAATATTAGATACGTACTTTTTTTCTCTAATTAAACAAGGTATAGCTTAGAAAACAAGCGTTAAAGGTGAAGAGTGGGGGCTCGCTACGTCACAGTTTTGTAGGAAATGTACAAAAGCGTGACGTCATGTGACATTTTAATTCAATGTAATTTAATGATTACGCAAGAATAAAAAAACACTGTTATCATCCCTATTTTTGTGTTTACAAACACTGAATTAAATAAAACCACTTAAAATAGTTTTGTACCGTTCGTTTTTTCAAGAAATGCTTCCTATTTCTACGGTCGCCAAACAGCATTTTGTTCCTTAACCTTTATGTCGACTGTCAGATATCGTAAACATTTTCTGTACGAGCGCAACAGCAATATCTTTGCGCACGAGTGAAAAAAATATGTAATGCTGGGTAATTACCGTACAATTGTACGAAATTCTTTCTAACGATTGTACGGTAATTTTCTGAAATTAAATAGTCTAGTAGCTATCGTTTTCTATGGTGCTAGACAATAAATTCGGTTCCCTCAAAAGGTTGATTCCGTCATTACAGCAGAGGGTTTTCATTTCTACAGATAAGAGTTTGTGTGAGATCGAGGAAGGATTTATTCGCTCTCTCGCTCACTGCGTACCGTGGGCTGCGAGAGGGGGCAAGTCAGGCTCCACGTTCTGTAAAACTAAAGGTAAAAGAAAAATGCTTTTATTTTATAAACTAGGCTTCCGCCAGCGGCTTCACCCGTGTGATCTAGTTTTAAGTCCAGAAAAGAGGAAATTACATAAAAACTTTAATCTCCTAATTTACCCCCTTAGAGATAGAATTTCGTAGAATCCCATCTTAGTGAGCACCTACGTCCTAAAAAGAACCCGTATGCAAAATTTAAAACTCCTAGCACTTGTAGTAACGAAATTTCATACAAACTTTGCTTACAAATAAAATACTTTTATTTGTATTGTAAATTGGGAAAGAAAAAAGCACCACAATACTCAATACAAGACAATTTATGAAAGTTCGTTTTCCACATTGACTCTACTGGGAATCGAAGTTGGAACCTCAGAGATGGGTTTTGTGTGGTTACTTGGTTTATGAGCAATACATGTGATGTGGTCTCGAATAATTGTTTGTTTTATACCTTTTTATTGCCATTATTATTGATATATTACAATATGTAAAGATACCAAAATTGTAGTTTATATGTCTCTTTTACCTTGAATAAATCATTCATAATGTTTCTCAGACGACAGATATGTACTCAAGGAAATGACGAAGCCGGAGTGGCAACAGTTTCTTGAGTTCGCTCCGCATTATTTCAACTATATCATCAACTGTCATCAAAACAAATTGCCCAGTTTACTAGGTAAGCTATAATTCACACTAGAGAGCTCAAAAGGATATTTTTCGAGCACAGATTCGATAAACTTCTATGTGTTCTAACTCAAATGGTTGGAGACTCTGTGAAAAATGAAAAATCCATTTATCCCGATATGGGACTCGAACACACATCCTTTCACAATATTTTCCCTTTCGGGGTACCTGGCGCGTGTGTATTTTTAAGCTATTTTCATTATAAATATTTATATTGTGACTTTCTTTCTGAATGACCTTAATATGTTTGATTTTTAACCTCCAATCAAAATAACAAAATCAGATATCGCTGCACTTTCGCTGCCATTTTTGGGATTTTCAAAATAAAAGAAAAATTTGTGCTTTGAAAGAATTTTTATATGGGCATTAAAAATGTAAAGGTAGAAAAATAAGAAGTATTGTGTATTTTAGCGCGCATAGTAGGCGTGTACAGCGTGGGGGGCGCGGGGAACGGTATCCTAGTGATGGAGAACGTGTGGTACTCGTGCGGACCAAACACGACGCGCTTCGATCTCAAGGGATCCTCCCGGCACAGGCTGGCGCACGACACGCCCGTGCTCATGGACGAGAACCTACTGCAACGTATGTTATACAGGACTACACTACATTACAATACATGTCAATACTATACAACAATAATTTACACTACTATACTATATTACAATACAATACAAGATTATACTACATTACAATACACGACTACACTATATAACAAAATACGATTACGCTGTCTTAAAATCATTTTAAAAAATATTACTTGTATTCAATTCATTAGTTAACATGTCGCGTAACGTGATTTATAATCGACAAAGTAATGTGATAATGTGACATTATCACTTTAAAAGATTAAAACTTTGTTATTATTTGTATTTATTTTTACTCTTGACATTACTTCATTTTGTATAAAGAGAGAGGGCCATCTAGATAAAAAAAAATATTAAAAACGACGTGGTTATGTATTTAGTTCGTTGGGAGTCTCCGCTGTACGTGATGTCCCACACGGGTAGTGTCCTGTGGGCGTGTATAGAGCGGGACACTATGTTCCTGGCCTCTCACTGCGTCATGGACTACTCTTTGCTGCTGGGCATAGACAACAGGACACTTGTGCTGGGACTTATAGGTACGGTACATTTACTATCTTAAATATACAAGATACATTGTCATACAGAAGTTCAACTTTTATATTTTTATATTTTGTATATTTATGCCTATATCTACTTATTTCAATCTTTATGCCTGAAAACCCAGCACCAAAAGACAGTTTTTAAAGTCTTTTACATCCTTGATATTTATATTTCCTATATGCTTGTCGGTTTGTATGGCTTCTTTCTGAGATCACCTTCCAATTAATAGCAGGAAAATGGTTTAAATATTTATTGATAAACCCACGTCTTGTTGGTAGACTATATCCGGACATTCACGTGGGATAAGAAACTGGAGCACCTGGTGAAAAAGAACCTTGGGTCGGGACAGCCTACCGTGGTGTCCCCGGACGAGTACAAGCGTCGATTCTTTGTAGCCGCCCGCAAGTACTTTTTGCAGTGCCCCGCGCACTGGGACCATCTATACCAGACCACCACCACGAATACATGATATATTACCACTTATTGATAAAGATAGATTGATTTTTTAGTACTTGCATCATAAATGCTCATAGAAAGAATAACACGGATAAGACATGTGTCCGTATTCAACTGATTATTGTTTATGTTGGTAGTGATATTATTTCGTATCAATTCAAAATTGAAAGAAAGCTATTAGTGTTTACATTAAGTGATTATTTAACATATTACTATGTATTAGATCCAGTTATATTCTTTCAATTCATATTTACTTTTTTGTAAGATCACATACTTTGCTCAGTATCCAAAGTTAATCATGGAATTTAATCTTTAAGAATCATCACAAGTAAATATCAATCAATATACCATTTTGAATCCAAAAAAATATCAAATAACATTTTTTTTATATCGAATTCCTTGTTTGTATTCATAGTCTATGAAGGAATTATATTTATTTTTAACTAGCTAAATATTTATTTGTTTGTAAAGATTTCAACTGTGATTTTAATTAAATACCTTATTTATAAAAAAATACCTGAAAAGATTTAATCATTTCACGTTTTGAGTTATAATTTAAATAACGAGAATTTTGCTTCTTTGTATGTATTGTCATTTAAATTAAAAATAACCGAAATATCCATCTTCAGGTACTGCTTTGTTCATTTCCTACAAAATATATTGTAAAAATACATGTACAGAGAATCTATTTGTATAAACATTCCATTAGGTATTATTTATATGTAAAAAATAAAATATTGTTATCGAATAAAAGTTCTTTTATTAACATACATATATATGATAAACTTTGCTTCAACTTCGCACCTTCACGAAAACGCGTCGTTGTTATTACTGTCACGTGTTGTTTCATGTATAATGTATAATATGTAATGTATATATTTCTGTCCTTACATACATAACATACACAAATGTAAGAATGATAGTTTTTTACAGGATTGCTACCGTGTACTTTATTTTTATTGAGTTCCCAATATTTCGGCGCTGATGCAAGCGCCATGGAAAACTATTATTCTAATGTAAATGACCATGAAAACTTATAAACGAAAATGATATACACTTTTGTAGCGTCACAACATAAAATTCGTTTCATTCTTAAAATTTAGACTGATAGAAGTACTAATCGATTCCTTTTTGACATCCATATTATAGTGTCTTGAATCATTCAGATTGATTAACGAATCATCTCTAATTTTGACCAAAAAATTTACTAACGCTTCCTGTGATGTGATATTAGATCTCAAAATTTAGCTTATTTTTACTTTTTTCATATCAGGACAATTAATCTTAAATAAAGTCGAGCTAAAATTGCAAAGCTGTTATAAATATTAATTAGTACTATGATAACAACCTCGATGCGATTCGGACCTAATGACGGTTTGGTACGTTTCGTTTCATCTAATACGAAAAAATATTCTTTCGTCATATGGTAAAAAGTGCACATTAACAATTACATTTAGATTTATTCCTTTGAAAGCTTTGATTTCATTGCATTAATTTTTAAAGTAGCTTCACAAGTATCTAGTTTTGAGTGTTGTTATAACCTCAAAAAAATATTTACAAATTACGAATCACCCTGGCCCCCAGTTGAAAAAATGCTAAGATAATATTCTATTTTAAGCAAAAATAAATTATCACTAATGGTGATGTATCTACATTGATGGGTCAGTTATGTCTAACTACATATACTGGTGTGTGAAGGCTCATAAAACAATTCTAAAATTATTTTCTGCCTCCTTCGCCGCAGTCGATAAGGGTTATTGGTTCATGAATAAAACACTGATTTTAAAATCAATCATTTATTTTTATCAGGTTCTCATAAGTTACAATAGTTTCATAATCCATATACAAGTTGACCTCTATTGGTCCAATTAAAATAGCGCCTCTATATCCTCTGTCTTAGGCTGGAGTTCACCGACTTTCTAATCAACTAATTAGTACTTAATCAGTTAGTTAAAGACATTTTTGTGTTCACCACACACTAATCAATTGATTAAATCTTTAAACGGCCGATTGACTTAATCGAGCCCCACAACCCCTTTTAAAAATTGGTTATATTGACTTATGTAATTATTGGACGTCTTTTGCTGTGTTTGTAATAAATTATCAAATACATCAAAATAAAATGTCGTCAATGTTTAATGTTCTCGATAACTACCAAGAATAATATTATTATTAATGTTTTAATTATTATTTCCATCCAATACGAGTTAATTGTTTTGACATTCACAGTTTGACAGTGATACTCACTTTTTTCTTTGTTCTATGTGTCTATTATTTTGAATTATAAGTTGACCAAAGTTAAAATGCATTGATTTATATCGTTCCTGTTAAGTCATCCGTACTCTTAAATTTGTTAGTATTTTTATTACATTTAAGTGTCAATATAAACCGTGTCGTATGAATACGGCAGAACTTTCTACGCAACTGATTAGTGTATTACCATTCGTACATTCATCAATGACGATTTGGTAATCGTCATTAAAATTTACCTCGTGAGCATGAAATTTTTAAATTGCTGTTTAAACAACGGTTACGACTTCATCGGCCGATTTCTTAATCAATATTTAACCGACTGTCGGTGAACTCCAGCCTTAGAATACAAATTATATTTTTAATATTTTCTGTTTTATACAGCTATCACTAATGTGGCTCTGAATGTAAAACCAAAATCTACATTGGTAATAATGCTGCCTCACGATAAATATATAATTTGTAGCTAATAAAATGGTAGATACCAATTACATAGACGTATAAAACATTTAAAGGCTCATATGATAATTCTACGTCGAAAATAAAAACAAATTTTGCTGTTTAGAAAGGCGTCATCAAATTATTATTTTATATTGTTACCGTCCGAACTATGATTCTGTTTGAAATACAAATAGGCAGTACTTATTACCGCAATAATGAAAGTTAGTTTCACAGGTTCTGCATAAGAAGGTACTATAGCATTACAAAGTAGGTATGTTGCGTAATTTAAATATGGAATAGATATATCTACTCTTTCACTTCACTATAATACGCCATTTTAACCTATTTCTTTGTACAGTCCTCTGCCACATTTGAATCGCATCAGTTGTAATAAAGTAGTCTTAAATATTACATTTTACATGATTATAATAAATGAAAATTGATCTTGAACCTTGTTTAAAACTGAGCATGCAAGTTTCTTTAGAATTTGATTAACAACAACTAGAACGAGATTATTCATTCTATATTTTACTTGTTTATTTGTAAAAAATATAGTTTTTAACTCTAAAAACAATAATATTTTACCTTGCTGAAGTAAAACTTAAATAATTTCAAAGAAAGACTAAGCAACACTATTGAGGTTTTATTTACATACATTTAAAAATTTATCATAAAAAAAATCCAAAAACACCTAATAAGAAATAACTTTCAACAATTATTTGTTTAAATTTTAAAAGAACCAATGATTATGACCTGACATTCATTTGTTTTCTAAGTTTTGTACGACGCAAGATTATAAACTTATCCATTTTGCGAGATTCTATATGTTGTCCTTTTAAAAATAGATTTATCTTAATTTCTAAGATAAGTTATTTATATTTAACACGATCTATCGCAGTAAACCTGACAAATATATAATTACGTTACTTCGTGAAAAAAAAAAATACTTGATTTATACGAGTTTCTACAAAAATGAAGTAGAATTATCAGTAACATGTATTGTAAAATTATTATCGATCGTACGTGTTGAATGCAGCAATTTGTAACATTCGCCAAATATAGAAAACACCCCACCGTCAACAAATCGCTTTTAAATCTTTCATTTTCTCAATATCTAAACCATATCACATCATAATTTATTTATATTTTTGTCATATCTATTATTCTTGCTGTATCGTTTACAATAATAAATATGACATTTATTTATTTAAATCTAATAATTTACTTTATGTTGGCAACGATCATCTATAGAAGACCGTATATACTATAGCGCCTATACATTACATATTATTCATAAGGGGTCATCCATTAATTACGTCACACGATTTTCATGATTTTTTTTTTGCCCCTCCCCCTTCCTAGTCACAGCTGGTCACATTTGTAAGACTCCCCCCTCCTAGTGTGATGTCACATATTTTGCAAGGTTTTTGTAGTTAAAATTAAAGTTCGTGTTTAAACACTTAGATTATAATAGAATTTGAAATGTGACGTCACGAAATGTAAGACCCTGCCACCCCCTTGTGACACAATGTCACACTTCGTCGACCCCCTCCCTCCCCCCTTAACGTGTGACGTAATTTATGGATGGCCCCTAACAAGGATCTTCTATAGACGATTGTAGCGTTCAAAAATTACCCGGTTGATATTAAACAAAACCGGTATCTAACCGGTTATCATAATGATAACCGAAACTAAACCATAATCGTTGTATGAAAACATAAAGGGTTCCTGAATTTTAAACTAAAATATTATAAACCAATGTAATTTAATATAAATCGCTAACGTGTAAACAACGAACTTGCTCAATTTGTCATATTCATCATATACATATCCCTTATATATTTCGTTAACAAAAATTCGAACATACAACTTAAAAACATGGGTTCGACGTCACGGCCTAGATAGTTTTTACTGTCAAAAGATGAAGAATAATTTAACGTCGGTTGAATTGTTACATATCTGTATACGTATATACGTAGGCGTTCAAGATCAGCCTTAAAAGTAACAGATGCAGATCTTCCTGTCTCATTCATGACAGATACGGATATTAGACCCATCATTAGCAATAGTAAGTATAGGATTCGGGTTACTTTTACTTTTTTTTATTTGTAAGTCGTTTTCTTCTGTTAATAACATTTATTACAAATTAGAATATAATTTTATATCACAAGTAACTTCTTCTATTAACGGTAAAAAAAGTATAAGACCGTACGTCCCATCTTAAAAAAAAATTAACCAACGGCATTATAAATATAATATTATTCTTTACGTACAAGATAGAAGAGGAATTATTATTTATAATAATATTGGATTGAACAAATTTAATAATTTCTCCTGTTTTTTCAATTAAAGTAAACTTAAAGAGTACAAAACGCATAGTTTTTGAATTATTTATACAATTTGTGTTTTGAAATAAAATACTTCAAGGTGCAAAATAGATAAAGTTCATAATGTAGATAAAGTGACGCATGTAGCTTCTAAAACCGCACCTATAAAAACGGTTATCTATTAAAAATCAATCAAAAATCGACTTTGCTCGTGTCGGCTTTAGTATTATTTTTCTTAAGCAAACAATAAGTAAAATTAAATCTCTAAGAGCAACAGTAAGTTACTTAATTCAGACAGGTTGGTTTTTTTTCTGACATTAAAAACAAATTTAAGTAATTTATGTTAATTATCTTTATTTAAGTAAAACTTTCACTGTCATGTAACATAAGTAGTTTATCAGACAACAGATTGTAAAGATGCGAAACAATGTCACGACATGGATTTTTTATACAACATGCGTCGACTACATAGAGATATTATAGAACAGCGGTTAACTAGCGGTATGTATGTCAGCGCGCCAAGGGGGCAAAACAAATCGAAGGTAAGGAAAACAAACAGGGCATGCGTCAGTAGAAAGGATAGGGTTACGCGATTTTCTCTTTCTAATCGCCATCTATGGTACAGCGGTAAAAACTTCACATGTACACATGTAGAACCAATCCGCGACGTCGCGCATCGCATTATAAATTTGAAGCACCAATCGCCGTAGTAGTTGTTCATTTTTTGTTAATTATTTTAAACTTTTAGTTACAACAAAAACACCACAACTGAATTCCGCGCAATTATAATCGTTGTAAAGATTTTTTTTTTAATTTAAAAATTAGAAGCTTTCATGTAGACTGCGCACCAACACTACAAGCCGAATTACATTATTCGACTGTCATTGCTTTGCACGGGCGAATAACATTGCTCTCTCGATTGATTACAACTAATCTCCCATTAATGTAAATTTACAAGCAACCGTATGCCCAACTGTCATCTATAACACCCCTATGGCCTAATTTGAAATGTACAACAAATATTATAACACTATACAAACAAGTCGGTAGACTCAAAGAAAACGCGAATCAATCAGAATGGGACACGCCGAAAGAACGAAATTTTAGAATTCTTTGAATGAAACATAAATTAACCGTCGCCATATACGAACTGAATCGTCGGAATTCTTATGTCAACCATAATTGTTTTTTAAGATATAAAGAAGGTTCACTTCATCCTCCTCCTTCGGCTCTGATCAGCCTAAACCGTTAGACAGAATGGCGAATTTGTTTGTTTTCCCTCCTCTTGCAGTATATACCTCTCTCTACCGTACGTGCATTACCAATGGTAAAAAAATAGATGCTACGGTCCCAAAGATTATCCTCCACATACACAAAAGATTCATAAAATTCGCACTCTTATAAGAAATATATAAATGTTATTTACACATAATAGGACATCGGGTTACCACAATATGTCAACCAATATCGGACACTCTCAATGCTTTAAGGTTTAAAATCATATTGGGATCCCAGTATTGAAAAACCTATTGCTGCTTGAATTGAAGACATTAAAAGTTGTAATCCGCTGGTTAGTAGTTGGTTCCTAACTTTTGCCATCTAGATGCAATATGCCCATGATATTGTCATTTTATTTCCACTTAAAGCACATCTCAAATCATATTAATTTTCTTCACCCATATACCATTTACCACTAAACTATGTTTTTTTTTTTTTTTTCAAAAAGTAGTTATGCCAACTATTTCAAATGAAGCTAATTTAATAAAATTGATGTATTTTTTAAATAACCTTTTTTTTATTTTTTACCGTGTAATCTGATTACACATTCCCAGTCATAGGTAGGTCAGGAAATAGTGTGACTGTACATGCGCTTGTTGTAATCTGGCGATAGAAAGTAATACGTCCTATTATTAGGTTCTTTATTACCGCCACATATTTATTGGTTTACTCCGGTGCAATTATTATTATTGACTGGGATGATTTATACCTTTAGGTTAGGAACCACTCCACTTTATATTGCTCTCTACTACATAATATGGCGTTTAATTAGAGATGCGCCGAATATTCGTTTGGTGTTCGGTATTCGGCGTATTCGGCATATATATCACTATTTATATTAGCCAAATGAATAGGTTTTGGTGCCGAATATATTCTGATCCATTTTTCTATTTTCTTGGCTACCAGACACTGTATAGAACTTAACGACGAAACTTCTTATGTAAGATTTATCTTATATTATAAATCAAAGAAATCCTATGAATAATTATTTAATAAAATTAATAAAAAAGCAAATGAACTTCAAATCAACATTTGTTTTTCAATCTGTTTATGCGACAAAACAGTGAAATGGTAAACCGAATAATTCGAATATCCGGTAAGTAAAGGTGAAACCGAATAGTATTCGGTGAAACCATTTCGGCACATCTCTAAAAGCATTTACTATGTTCGAGGAGCAACCCACTTATTAATTTGTAATCTATCATTAATTATTAAAACAGCAATATATTTTATACACACATTGTACAGATTTACAGATTATGTTTATATTCACAAAACATGCTTCATTAGTAGTGATTTTATTATTTATTCAATAACCAGACTCCAAATTACCTGCAATCTAAATCGAAAACTAAATAGAGCAACAAACTAAACAAATACGCCAATATTCTGCAAATACACATTTGACAGCACATTAGATTTATTATAAAAGGCAAACATTATCCAATAGATAAATAAGTTCAAAATTCAATGTTAATTCAATGTTAGGAATATGGCTTTTTGTAATATCCTAATGTGCTGTGTGAAAAAAAATACTTTAATAACATTTTCAAATAATATTTAAATGTTTAATCAGAAAAAAGGTCTTACTTTGGCTGTTTTTAATGGAAGAACTAAATTTAACAATTAACAGCTTTTTCTTTTTTCACATTTAAACAAATATATCTTATCTTTATCTAGCCAGTCAAATATAACATATATTTATTATAAGTATTGGTGCACAAAATTACAAATATTCTTGCCAATTCTGTTGTACTAAATAAAAAATAAAAAAAAAACAATTTTAATTTGGGTTGTAACTATAATATAATAAGATTCCTTATGTTATTTATAGAATTGTCAATCAGTTTGACAGGAATAAAACTAAATTAAGTCTAGTTAGTGCCAACAGAATTGACACCATTATAGCTGATTGTGATTTTAGTCCAATAGAATTTGTCTAGGTGCTTCATATAATAACTGAAAGTGATCGATAAAGTTAAAAATTGTCTTTAATTTTTTTTTTAATATCATGTGTCAACATTTTTTTTTTTGCTTTTTATTATAAAAATAACGAATTATTGTAAACAGCAAAGTTGATAAATATAAATTTTCTAAAGTAAGGTCAGCAAAACAAGTAAAGTTTCAAGGGTAAAAATCATTTTTATTCCAAGAAATTGAATTTAATTTTGATAAAACATACCATTATAATCATCATTGTCGGAATAAAAAATGATAGATTTATTAGAAAAGATCCAATCAGCCGTATTATAATGTTGTAAATTTTGTAACAGATGAATTTTCTACTATTACGACGTGATCTTAATTGCTAGTTTACTCAATTATTTCATTCACTAAGAATTATAAAAAAAAGAGCAAGAACGACTTTATTACTTACGAAAGATAAGCACAGAGTAAAAATGATTTGCTATTGTAAACTTCATAACGGTTAGATTGGTTACTGTGGGAGACAAATAAGCATAGAACTGTGAAACGGCCTGCTTATTTTGCATTTTCAACTTCAGGGTGTAAGTGTACAAATAAAGGAACAAATATTTATTTATACTTTATCTCGTTTCGCTGGCCTTATTTTACTTAACATTTTAGTTGTGTTTTTAAAAACAGTTTTCTTAACACAATAACACTATATTACTTATGAGAAGTGAATAAAAACTATATCTGTAATATAACATAATATAACAGACCTAGGCAAATAATAATGGACAACAACAGATGTTATTCGTCTATGAAATGAAATTACAAGATCACTTATAAGTACTGTCATCTAAAACGTCGATAATAGCCTTGCTGAGTTGAGATCGTCAGTAATGAGAGTTTAGGTGCCTGGCACTCGCTATCATGTAGGGTCGAGAGTCGAACTTAAGTTTCTTAGTTGTTCGAGACCCGCCAATAATTCTCTGTATAAAAAAAATGAGTCCATGATTATTTTATATAATTTTAAGATGGTTCATTCCTCTCTTCTCACTTTCCATTCTCTTAATTGCACCGAAAATTATTTCAAGATAAATAATAATTTCTTTTACTACTATTACCAAGAATGATTCAATATTAACGATTTAATTTAATGTCATATCATCTGAAGGTCAATTACATTACTTATTTAATTCAAAGTAATCAAATCCAACCAACACTGGGATCTGCCCTGCGATACTGTAAAAATCCAGACCCTATTTCGAATTCACGTCATTTAGTGTAGAAATTTTATTGGTTTCAATTTTTATATAAAAGTACAAAACAAAATTGATTGAATATATGTGTCTCGGATATTCTATTCCTATGTCATTTCGAAATTTACTTCATTTATGCCACGAAACGTTATAAACAATGCAAGGTTAAGCGGATGCCACTGTTTGAAGTGGATTCGGACACCTGAGTGAATTCGAATTCGGGTTTGGATTTTTTACAGAATCCTGTGATTTCCTGTGGATGCACTCAACTACACACCGGGCCATAGGGGGCCGCCCATAAGTTACGTCACACAAAATTCAGGATTTTTAACCTCCCCCCCCCCCTCCTGTCACCTATTTATCTATACAAATTCCACTAAATATTGTTCTAATGTCACAGTTAGTCGACCCCCCCCCCTTCTAAAGTGTGAGGTAATGACTGCTAGTGACAAATTAACAACTGTCTCGAAGTCAATTATTTTTGGACACCTGCCACTTGTGTATATGGGAATGTGAACCTTAAGTGTACGTACCTGAGTGATGTTTCTGCTACAGCACTTGCGTTTCTAAGATCGCTAGCGGCTAGTACTTGCCGTCCGCGTAATAATCTTACTTCCTCCTGAGACGCGGATAATTCCTCCTGGTGGCAACATAGATCATTTATTTTTTTGTAATACTTGTTTAAGTATCAATCAAAATAATTATTTTTCGTAACCTTATATGATACTAGTGGCCGCCCGGGACTTCGTCCGCGTGGAAGTCGGTTTCCCGTGGGAATGAGAAGTTTTCCCAGTAAAAAGTTCCCTATATGTTATTCTGATGTATAACCTATATTGCTGTAAAGTTTTATCCAAATCCGTCCAGTAGTTTTTTCGTGAAAGAGTAACAAACATCCTCACAAACTTTCACAATTATAATATTAGTAGGATTTAAAGTAATTGAACCCAAAATTTAAAATAATCACCGTTCTGGTTAGTTTCAGTTTTATGACCTTCCAAAAGTACTCTACATTCAATATAATAAGGATTAAAAGCAAGTGGAGAAATTTGACAGTTTTGTCAAACATGCTGTTGACTATACCTACCTTTAGCCTTTTTATTTCCTTCCTTAGTCTAGATACAGTTGAATCTGAATCTGCTGCACGATTCTGTAATAGACATAATTATGTTATATAAACCTAAACAAATGTTGACGATAGACAAATTAAACATGGAAAATTCTTTATTCTAAAAAGCTTATAACTTTTTAATAAATAGAATAAATAATAATATAAGAAAACATCACACACATTGCTTACATGCCTAATTAAGAAGCTAAAGTACTTGCATTGTATAAATTAGAAACAACGAAGAAACACAGCACCCAGACCGACAAAATATAATAGTTCATTTTTCTATATTGTACGTATATATAACTATAACTATTAGTGACTGTAATAGTTATAGAAACTCCTTCCCTTCTCGTAAGAGAAAAAACACTGTTGACGCTCTCTAACTCTTAAATCAACTAACGTAATACGACTTTTAACAGAAAGCTTGTTTATGCTATTATATAACTTTTTTCTATTCGTTAATATAGCGATGTTATTCAAAATTTTTCATTATACATACTGTATATTGAGTTGATTAAGTATTTAAACGCATGTTTTTGTTTAATTTGATGTCAATGTACATGTGAAAGGTTGCAACCTTGATAACTGGAAAATATAATTTTCACCTGATTGTTGCGTTTTGTAAATCTTAATAAATAATAGACAACATCATATTCATTGCGTAAATTCCAAGATAGTAGTTTAAGCCGCCATATTATGACGTATCTGAGACAACGAAGGTACCACAGCACCCAGACCAGAGACAATATAGAAAAGTAAATTTTCTACATAGGAATATCCATAACTTACCTCACACTTTAGGAGAGGGGGGGGGAGTCGACGAACTGTGACATGGAATTTATATAGAGAAAAAGGTGACAGGAGGGGGGGGAGGGTTAAAATCCTGAATTTTGTGTGACGTAATTTATGGATAGCCCCATATACATATTTCTAAGGATATGAGACGTTATTTGTTACCGATGGTCCGTCCGCGTGTTGTATCGGTGGCGAGGAGGCGCGCAGGAGAGCACGCGCCCCCGCCGCCTCAGCTTCCGCGCGGTGACGACGACTACGCTCCGAAAATAATTCCGCCCTATACACAATTACAAACACACCTATACTTTCTAGACTCTTTACACCTGTCTTTGGCCCTATACATAATAACGAACACACCTATACTTTTTACATCTATTTATCCATCGCCCTATACACTATAAAAAACACGTCTATATATATCTACCTATATTTTCACATTTGATCACTTGCAGAATAGACAGAGTGAACAGACTGCCACCAGGCATGGTCTTTATATACATCTTTACTCTTCACCACTTTCATTACTCTTTTCATAATTGCTTGTCGGTTTATATCAATATCTAAATATCTTTACTGGTAATCTCCGGTGGCATCTCATGGCCTCACAAAATTTTTCCTACATAAAAATAATTTTATAAATGATGATGAATTCAATTAAGAAAAAGTGAGTATCTAATATTTTTCTATTATCTGACTGACAATTAAATAGAAATTCCTTCTTTCCCAATCATCATCTTTATTGATAGTAATGATTAAAACATTAGGACCCCACTGGTCTAGATAAATATTGTTTACTAATATAATGTAATGTTTGCAAAAAAATGAATAATATTCTACAGTTTGTGATTAATATAATGGAAATCTGTTTTTTTTTTTCTGATTTACACATTTTCTATAATTTAGCTAGTATTTACCGTGTCCTTTCCAGTTCTGAGATTATCTGTTGCAATTGTTCATCTTGATGCTCTGGCTCTGGTGATGTACGACCAGGATGCACCGGCAGGAAGTCAGGAAGCCGCATAGACTCTGCACCTATTCATTAGTAATGATATTACATAAATATCTCTGACTATAAGTATTATGGATGAATATACTATGCAAGCATAGTTTGTGGTAGGTATAAAAGTGCTTTCGATAATTTTACATAAATAAAGTACACTTTTATTATTATTTTGTTATACTTTGCATCGTAATGTTATAATGATATTTGGCTCATACAAAAAATACTTATAAGATTCCAATATGTCAAGTCCGAATATTTCCATTTTAACCTGAATTATTGAAGAGTGTGCATAACAGGTTTCGTAATTATCAAGATACTTTTTGTTTTTGACAATTATTCATAGTTACAGGCAACAATTTTTTAAATACCGAAAAGCATTCATAATAGGATAAACTTTTGTGTGAAATATACATACACAAATACAATATTTTTAAAAATAAGGAGGCATTTAATTTAATTTTTTTTTGTTTTTGTTGTCCACCCTAGAAAATTAAGTCTATAAGAAAAAGCATATCTAAATATAACTTTTTTCAAGTGTGCTCATACAATATCTCACCCATGCACAACAATTTTCTTAGTTGAATCTATTATGCTCTGAACTTTTTTGGAAAGTTATTGCCAAATTCCATTGAGCTTATGAAATAGTTAATTCAATTGATTACTTGTTTATTGCATAAAATATGGTGTGTAAAATATATCATGGAAATAATAGTATTGATTTAATATATTTTTATTGTTCAGCATGCAACAATTTCAAAATGAGTTTTATATTATGTACAGCCAGTTTCTGAATTGAGAAAGTACAAAATCTCTACTGATTATTCTTAATAAATAAAGTTTATTACGTTTCATAAGGCAAAAAGTACTAGATTTGACAAATTGCTATCAACTGATATTTAAAAAATTATAAATCAGCAATGAAAACATGTTTAAATGAGGTTTAAAGTGGCTTAAGCACAGTTTGAGAAGTGCTCAACTTCAAATTCTCAATTCAGAAACCGGGTGGTAGTGTCAAATAATAATTACAATAATACTTATTGAAAATTCTTAGCTTTATTTATGACTTCTTTTTATTACTTAGCTTAATGACTTTTATTATTTAGTTACTGCTACATTAATGCAATTTAAAATGGCAAAGTCTTTATTGTGGTAGCATTACATTATAATACAACCACAAAGGGCATGAAGAAATTTTACTTGTACATTTCTGCCAATGTCAAGTATTTAATTCAGTTAAATTAAAATAAATTAATTTTTAAATGTTAATTGAAAATCAAATGAATCTCAAAAATAGTTATCTCCCTATTCAAATCATACAGCTTACCTCTTGTTAGAATGAGATAAACATAGTTACTTAGCTTTACTGGCAACTCCAATCTCCCCTACTCAAAGAACAGATGCAGGAAAAGTTCAATGACTTTTATATTTATTAATATAAAAAAGTGTAAGTACAGTACATAGGCCTGAAATATTTCTATTTTACTTTTCTCATTGTCAATGTGTAATTTTTCATTGTTTAAACATGCAGGTAGGCATTTTTTCTACAATTTTTCACCGAAAATTATGAGTGGAAATAACATAAAGCAATAACACCACTTGCTGAAACATTACTAAAGTGAAATTCAGGCAATTGTCTTCCTTTCTTGTTGTTGTGCGCAGATAACCAATCTAAACTTTTTACTATATCATTGACTTAGCTGTTATTGATAAATAAAATAATCTTCAAATTTTACTAAGCTTTTTATGAAAAGTCTATCATGAATAAAATTATGCTTAAAACTTCTCTTTAACACAATCAGAATATTTTCTTAATTCTGTAATGATTTAATTTGCATTTGTTTAAAATAAATCTCAAGTAAATAAATTTTATTACAAATGTAAAATTTACTAAATATGGGTGAGATTTTAAGGTTGAAAATTACTTACCAATAACATTGTGCTAATTAGTAGTTCAATTTGTGTATAGAGTTGCTCACTTGTTGCATTAGTAATGCATTTAAAATATGTATGACTTGCTGTTTGTCAAGTTCATTAACCCACATTACTTAGTATTGAGAGTAATTAAATACCCACTATTGTAGTCATTACAATAATGATAATATTTTGTGCAATTTTCAAGTATATCAAAAAGAATAACACAAACCTGCATTTGGTGGTAAGTCTAAAGGAAATGTATTTCTTGGAGATGTGTTCCTCCTATCTGCAGGATTCACAGATTCAGTAAGATCGAGACTGATATGTGCTGGCAGGTCATGAGGTATCGGTCCTGCCGCCTCTGCACCTGCAGGCAAATCTAGTGGAATACTGCGCCCGGCACCACTGCCGACATTATCATTTGAAGTAGATGCTGCACCCGTATATGTTTCATAGTCATAACTTCTGTTACCACTGTGATTACTATTATTTCTTCTTCCCAGCGAAGATGAAGAGCCCGCATTGAAATTAGAATTGAAATTAAAGTACAAATCTGGCAGGTTATCCATATCAACAGATATTGGACCATTAGAGTTCAGATAAGCCTGCTCCACCAAAATGTGATCTTGAACAAAATCTGGAAGAGATGGCATGCCTAGGGGCTCTGAAGCCAAATTTGGCCTATGATAAAACGGCACATCGGAATTGTCTGTGTAAAAGTTATGCTTAGATTCAGAATTGTCCACTACACTAAAAGGTATCTCTACAGAACTACTCGAAGACATATTATCACTTAAATGATGGCTGCTACCACCATTATTCTTTTCTTTGGTTTGTGTATCGGACGAAAGTGTTTTCTCGCGTCTAGAATCAGCGTGGACATCGATTTTGGTTGGCGAATGTTGCACTGTGTTAGAGTAAACTTTGGGTCGGGCGCCTGTGTTTTCATATGTAGAATTGCCCGGTAAAGATAGATCACGCTTCAGAAAATGCCGAAACGAAAACGGATTCTCTTCCTTACGAGTGGCGCCAGTGAATTCTGTAATAAAAAATTAACACATGTTGAAGTATGTCTATAAATTTAGCAGCCAAAAAACAACTCAGTAAACACTTACTGGATGAAGAACTTTTAGCTTCGGAAGGCGATGCCTCGCCATTTTCGTTGCTATTAAACTTCTCCTTCTCGATCTCTAGATCTCGTATCGAGGTATTTTGTTCATTGTCTTGAGAGGGGCCTGCATCATTCGAATTTTGTGAAGTTTTCTTGTTTGAAACACTATCTTCGTCTTCCGCCATTATAATGAAAATGACAAATATATATTCGTTTAGAAACGTATCCGCTGTTCACCTCTTGTGCACTTTCGTTTTGAAATGTTTACCACAGAGCACAATTACTAGGGAGAAGAATATCAACTCACATCTAGACAGTGCTGCCATCTATTGCGTGCTCCTAGGCATCTAACAAAAACGGGAAATTTAAAAAATAGCCTGAACGTGGCGAGAAAATTTGACTCGGTATGGTACTATTTATTGTTTTTAAATATGCAACTGTATCGCAGAATTGAACTCGAGTTACAAGTTTAATTCTGCGATACAAGTATTTTAAGTTTAGAGCGGGTAGGTAGAAACAATAAAACATTGTTAAAAATAAAATTACTATTTATTTTCAGTAATCTTTTTTGTCTTTTCACGAATTCAGAATATTGTTTTTAATTATATAATATATATTAGTTTTTAATTAATAATTTGGATAGTGTAACTTATCATTAGTGTAAATTTATTTTATTTTAGGATATTTGTGTATATTCTATTATTTTTATATTAATACTGCGAGTTCAGGTAAGTCTATCATATTGTTTTCCATAAACGATCCTGATGACCTTGGGGGGTCAGCCCCCCAGGCGTCTAATTTTGTTACGATCTCCCATGCCTCTGAAATGGACACTGCAGGATCTCTATTTGATATGGATTGTTCTTATTCTAATCATAATTCCAAGCGCAAAAGATCGTCATCACGAAAAATATGCAAACACTGCAATAAAAGGAAGAAGAGTGTAACAGTTTACTTAATAAACTGTCCTTGTTTTGAATGTTTATCTGATGTCTTAATTTCCTGTTTAATACAAATAAATTTAAAGAAAAATATAATTAAAAATAATTGTAGGTACAATGTTAACAATTGTACTATGGAGGTAGGCAGACATAGGAGCGCAGCGCGACTCATAGTGGTGCCATAGTATTTAAATGACTTCTTGCGAATCCAATGGATTCATTGTGATTTGATTATTCCAAATTGTTTATAGTGTTAAATAACCCCGAAATCGGGGTTTTAGTTCTAGTTCTACTTCTACTCCTACTTCTTCATCTACCCCAGTCCTCCTGAGCTTCGTGGACCTTCGGTGCTGCTGACCGGAGCTGACGACGGGTCTACACCCTTCTCAGCCTCTGCCCGGCCAGTGACAAGGACTCCACGAACTCATCACTAAATCCCCTAGCAAAACTTAAAGCTAAGTCCTCCCCTCGTAATTATAGAAACAAGAACCATAACGAGCGAATATCTTACCTACCCCCTGAGAATAAAACTAAAGATTGTTAAACTTTATTTCTAGTTTTATTCCTTATACCTGAAGCCTGGGGGGTGCTTCTCATCCCCCATCTACAACAAAAACGCTTCAAGAGAAGTCAAAACAAGGGTTCTGATCACATTTCGCTTACAAATATTGACTGTCACTGTGATGTCTCTCAACCTAGTAATAAATTTATTGGTATAAAAGATGTTGAAGCTTCCCACTCGGTACCGGAACAGGTGTCTCTGCCACACTCATCTCAAGTTTTAGATAACACTCCTCGTGCACCTATTGGTAGAATTCAATATCAAGATTCAGATGGAGCCCCTTTTATAGTATGTATAATTCAACGAGAACCTACATCTAGTATTGAAAATAATACAATACACCCAGTTTCATTAGGACGCTTTTCGAAAAAATATTCTTTCCAAAATCAACGGTAGTCTGAAAAAAATTGGTAGGAATAAAGCCTCAATTTCGTTTTCAAATTTCCAAGATGCTAATATGATGAAGACAGTTTCTTAAAAAGTTCCTCGTTTGAGATATTGGTGGATACAAACCGAAGCACACCGATTTTCTCCAAATACTCTCGTATAACCTGATTTACTATACGGTTTATAAAAATCTTTGCCTATATCTTTAGAATTTAGATATTATGAAATTATTTAATATATACAGTATTTAAAACAAATTAAAATATAGCTTTAAAAATCGCGCCCTTCTTTTTCAAAAGCCCGCCAAATAGTCACCGACGGCCATTTGCATATAGTATTGCTAGTATTGGAATCGCGATTACCCAAATTATTATTAGGTATTGAAAACAATACCATATTTTGACTAGCAACTAAACTAAGGTTTAATCATAGAATTAATAAGTACTACGTACAACTGGAATGCTAACTGCGATCTTTTTTACATATCAAAATGAACCTTAATGATATGTGAATAAAGTGTTTTTTAAATAACCATTATCTACATAGAGAAATGAGCTCAAGTGAGACATCTTTTTTCTTGGTGTGTCTCTGTCGCACAATTGCCATGTGAAATATCTATAATATATAAAGCTTAATTACCACTCACTGACTCACTGACTCACTCCATGCATTTTTCGGGTAGAAGGAGGGGGAAAATGACATTTTCATGTATGGAGACTGACAATATATTTTTTTAATGAGTTGAAATGGTATTCCTATGCAGCCAAAAAACAAAATGGCGGCGAGATAATTTTTTTAATTTCTAAAGTATACACTCTACGATTACGATATTCAAAATGGTCGTAGATTTGGCTAAAAAAATGACACTGAAAAAAGGTTTGATTAAAAAAACAAAATGGCGGCCGAGATATTTTACCTAGAAAATTGTCATTTTTCGACCTCTGTTCGGGCGGATGTCGTTTCTTTTGTGGTGGGTTCGGAGGGGGGATTTTTACGCTGGCGACTCGGAAGTATAGTCGATTTTCACGTATGGGGAGTTTTCATTTGCGCTTCAACATGGCGGCGGCGGTGGCGGCCATTTTGTTTCGGCAATGAAAAATCGCCATTTTCCAGTGAGATTTTCTGCAAGATGGCGGCGTCGGACGGGTTCGCGTCGTATGGGGCGGTCGTGGGGCTCGCTGCTAACTTTTTAAGTTGGTAATAATTTCTACCATTTTCGTGGTAGTTTAGGAGATTTTGGGAGAAAAGTGAAATTTTGAAATACGCACTTTTCGCGGAAAACAGACTCGATGCGGTATGGCGCCGGGGGAGCCCTTTGACTTTTGGTAGTTTTCGTTTCCACGAGCTGACAACCCTGGGCTCCACGGTAGAAAACATTTTTTTCGACATGCCCTCATAACCCGAATTGTTTGGGAACCTGGGTGGCCAGCGGAGAAAATCTGTGAATAAGGTGTCACGCCAAATATAGTCGTGACTATGGGAAAATTATGAAACTCGGAAAAATCAATATGGCGGCGGCGGCAGCGACCATTTTGTGATTTTTTCACTTTTTCGAAAAATTCAAACGCACTTTTAGCTCACATGGCAACATCGGAGCTCTTCACCTTTTATGGACCGGTCATTAGTATCTGCCGGCTCTTTCCTATGAGGTGAAAATTTTCCCCGATTTTAGGGCAATTTCGGAGATTTACCCCAAAAAGGTGAAAAGTAGAAGGAGCCGTTTGGGAATTTCAAAAATGCCTTTCCTCGACGGAGGGCACTCCCCGAAATGACATTTGACCATTTTCATCGTCGTCACCTGGCAACCCTGGTAGGAGCGGCGATTTAAAATATTTTGCCCATTTTTTACTTTGCCGACTCTAGCGCAGTCGGTATTGCCACTAGGAAAATGGTAAAAAATGCATCGGATGCGCTATCGAGTTGGCCACACCGGTACGGAGCTAGAATTTTAAATTCCAAGATGGCGGCCAAACCAGCGGCCTATTTATCCGGAAAATTGGGTATCGTCACCATATCGAGCCGATTTTGACTCACTCGCCGACATTTGTCAGAGTACTTCCGGGGAAACAATTTTTAAGCAAGTAGCTGAGGTGTTGCCAGATGAAAAAAAATCTTGAAAATTTTTGATACTTTTTGAGATTTTGGAGGAAACATTTTTTGTCGAATTTTTTATTTTTTTTTGTGCAAATATTTTAATTTTAACTTTTCAAGATACCCGATGGAAAAAATAGAACGATCAACTGGCAACACTGAGAGCAAACAACGTTTGAAATTCAACCTCGATTTTGACCGACTTGGCAACCCTACAAGTATTTGGCATGTATGGAGCGATTGTGTGTCTCTATAGACTCTTTCATATGGTGGAAAAAAATTACCCGACTTTAGGGTAGTTTTCGAGATTTACCCCAAAAACTGTAACTGTCAAAGGAACACTTTTAGAACTTGAAAATTAGTATCCGTCGATGGAAGGCGCGTCCCGAAATCACATTTGACTATTTTCATTGCCTACACCTGGCAACACCGGCAGCTACGGCGGGTTGAATATTTAATGTCCACTATTCACGTTTTGGACTCTAGCGCAGTCATTATAGCCGCTAGGAAAATAACAAAAACTGCGTTGGATGCGCCAATAGGTGTGCTACACCGGTATGGGGTTCAATTTACAAAATTCAAGATGGCGGCTTTAACAGCGACCATTTTATCTAGAAAATTGATAATTTTTCACGACTTTCACTTAATAGAGCTGATTTTGGCGTTTTTGGTAACATTTTTAAGAGCACTTTTGACAAAAAAATATGTATTCAGCTGAAGTGTTGCCAGATGAAAAAAAATCTGTAAATTTTTTGATACCGAGATTTTTAGGAAATTTTTATGTATGTCATCCTTAATGAAAGTTTTCATGCTAAAATTTCACTATTGCATTTATAAAATAATTGATGGAATAATTTGAGTGATCGACTAGCAGCGCTGATAGTAGTCACCATATAAATTTCAGAATGATTCTGATCGAGCTGGCGACTCGAGAGCTTTAAAGCATATATAAACCGTTTGTGTATCGTTACCCAATCTTTACGTGGTGAGAAAAAATTCCAATATTTTCGCCAGAAAAATAAAGCGAGCGAGACATTGTAATTCGGTTAGATTAGAACGGTGACTAAAACAAAAAGCGAGCGGAGCGAGCCATAAAGAGTGACCATTTAGAGAAATTTGATTAATTGGTAAGGTAAGAACTGTGACTAAAAAAAAACTAAAATAAAATAGAAATCTAATCAATCAGTTACATTAGAACTGTGAATAAAACAAAAAG